ATGGACAAAAACGAACCCCATTTCCCCTAAGAACAGGAACAAGACAGGGGTGCCCCCTCTCACCACTCCTGTTCAACATAGTACTGGAAGTGTTAGCCATTGCAATTAGGCAAGAAGAAGAAATAAAAGGCATCCAAATTGGAAAAGAGGAAGTAAAACTGTCCTTATTTGCAGACGACATGATATTATACATACAAAACCCTAGAGACTCCATCAAAAAGCTACCAAGAAGCCTCTTTTGTCTGAGTTGGTATAAAAATGTGTTGCTGACCAGCCAGTGCATAGCTACTTTGTGTTTGCTACTGTGTTAGCAAGAACTGCTTTGTCTGATGGCTCCTGTGTCTGTAATGACTACTTGGTCTGCAGTAAAGTCTCTCTTATATGCCTGCAGCTCCTCATGTCTTCTTCCAATTCCCAGCATCCATGGAGGTCCAGCCTCTAGCAGAGGGGCTGTGACCAAACATGCCCAAATGCTGCGTCCATTTACGGCTAGGGTTCAGGATCTGAAGAAGGGGCCATGCACAAATGAAAACACTAGACAAGAAATGTGAATTTAGAAGGCATGGGAGCCAGGTGGAAACTTCCCCCTAGTGGAGAAGCTCTCCGAAAACCTGGACCTGTCAGCTTTTATTCATTTGAATACACATTTGCCCTCTAGGAATGCATACAAGCATATCAAAGGTAAAGTTTGGTAAGCAGTAAAAGGATTATCAGGTTAGGCAATGGCCTTCAGCCATTGAGCCCACAGCAGGGCAATATTATGCTGATTTTCAGCCCTGCTGAATATCAAAGTCCATTGGCCTTCCAATGGGTCTTTTTGCATAATATGCTAATTACTGTTGGTTTTAGCCTCTGGTACCCACAGCCAGTCTTAGGCTGTTTACCTTGCCCTCTGTTGCTTTTCCTAGGAAACCTCAATAAAGATCTATGCCTTCTCCTCAGTCCTGTCATCTGCTCCCCTGAGCCATGTGTGGCACGGCGTGAGGCCTTCTCTTAGAAAATATTAAGTAATCAATTCATTCAATGGCATTTGCCTGCCCACTTCTTCAGCCAGTCATATCTCTGTAAACTAAATCCTGGGTATAATTTTTTATTATAAGGGTGATCTAATGTAGAAACTCTCCTGCCATTCTGGTTGAACAAGTCTGAGTACAAAACAGGTCTTACACGCATCTTAAGTAGCAGCAGCAGAAGCATAGAAGTAAGAGGTTCAAGGAGGGACTGAAATACAGCTGCCAGTTGCACCGGTATAAAGCAGATCAAAGCCTGTGTGGAACTGGTCCTGGCTGCAGGGGCAGAGGATTCAAGAGTGATGCACAGATGTCGATTCAGAACCCCTGCACTATGACCTGCCCTTACGGGCCATAATTGGGAATACACAGACTATATAGGCTTATGCAGGCCAAGCTCTTTCCTCTTTGCTTGTGCTGTGTGTTTATTATAATCACACTGAGTTGCCAGAAAACTCTGAAAATCATCCCTAACCTTTAGAACTGATTTGACACAAAGTAATTGAGCAGTGGCCTCATTTCTGGTGTTGCCTCAGCACTGACCTGCCATGGAGAACACGATAAAACAGGTGCCTGTCTCTGAGATGCTGAACAAAGGATTACTGTAAAAAATTAATCTATATTGAAAGGAAGTATTTTGAATGTGTAGTCAGAGAACTTACCTTCTTGCACCTCACCCTCCCCACCCACCGCCACCTTCCCTTTAAAGTAAAGGTGAGGTTTCTCTTTTTCTCTCTTGCATGTGTGAGTCTAGCAAATGGGCTGATATGCCAGCTGCTCTAAATGCATTCTGAGTCTCATCATTTCAGGATTCCTTTCCTGTGGTGTAATTCCACTGCATGCCAAGGTGATCGCCTGGCCTTCACTGCATCGCCCTGTGCAAATCAGGTCATAGCTGATAGATGAGTAATAAATGGTCTGTTTTCTAATCCAGAGGCAACCTGTTTTCTGTCAACAATTACGTATCATGGTTTGGGCTTCCTGGCGTTTATGCTATAGTCGTGATTGAGTTTTGATATAATGAGTTCTTATTGATGTATTGTTCATCAAACATGTACTCTGTGCCACAAATACTATTTTGTACACATTATCCTGGATGTCCACTACCTTCTGGTTATTGAACTAGTTAATTTTTATAGCCAAAATCTTGTGACTCTCAATTATCTTCATTTTTGTTGCAATCTTTTCATTTTTAAGAAGTATACTGCGATACAAGGGAATTTGATAAATTGCTAAGGGTTAACCAGCTAACACTGGGTGGAAAAATAAAAGAGCTTAGATGCAAATTTGTCTTTTACACATTGGTGCCCATATTACTTTACCACAATATCTAACGTTTGCCTTAAATTTTTCATTTTATTTTTCCAAATGGTTCATAAGTGGATATATTTTGCCTATAGTTGAGGCCCTATGTAAAGCCGTCTAAACAAGCTGTGGAAGGAAGTTACCATGAGGACAGCAGGAGGAAAAGCCACCTTCTTGTCAGTACACATTGTCTTTTATTAAAAATGAGAATTTTTGCCCTGTATGGTCCTGAAATATTTTTTAAAAAGCATGGACTAGAAAAAGAAGTTTAGAAAATAACTTTTTCTAACTTTGAGAGAACTGAAAGCCTTCCAAAACATTTTTGATTAAGACATACTTTCTAAATTAATAGTTCATTTTTAAGTGTCTTAAAAATCCAAATTCATCATCTACATTTTTTTTAAAAAATATATTTTATTGATTTTTTACAGAGAGGAAGGGAGAGAGAGAGTTAGAAACATCGATGAGAGAGAAACATCAATCAGCTGCCTCCTGCACATCTCCCACTGGGGATGTGCCCGCAATCCAGGTACATGCCCTTGACCGGAATCGAACCTGGGACCTTTCAGTCCGAAGACCGACGCTCTATCGACTGAGCCAAACCGGTTTCGGCCATCATCTACATTTTTATTTAAAATTTTCTGCCTCTTGCTATTGACCATGAAAATCTATTCCTTCAAATTTCATGAAATTAATTTAGGTAGAATAACATCCAAAATTCAAATCAGGTTTTATGATATTTATTAATTTATTGGCATTTATTCACCTATTCAACTAAATTTTCTTCCATTTTTTTTAAAGCAAGCCCAAGATTCTTCTTCTTTTTTTTAAAAAAAAATATTTTTATTGAAGGGAAAGGAGAGAGAGATAGAGATAGAAACATCAATTTTGAGAGAGAATCATTGATTGGCTGCCTCCTGCATGCTCCCCACTGGGGATTGAGCTCACAACCCAGGCATGTGCCCTTGACCAGAATCAAACCCAGGATCCTTCAGTCCTCAGGCCGACACTCTATCCACTGAGCCAAACCAGCCAGGGCTCAACCACATTTGTATTGAACAGTAAACATTTTATTATTAATGCTAATTCAATAATTATTAAAAACAAATCACAACATGAATTAAAATATAGGCATAGACATGACAAAATTATGCAAATATGCAAGACTAATTGTTGAGAACACTTTTTCTCAAGGAATTATTCTCGTAGATTTTTGTTTTATTACAGATTTCCAGAAGTACTTAATTAAAGTAGTGAAGGATGAATTCCAAAATCTCTAGAAACAGTTCTCTTGCAATTTCTGACTTCATAAAAGTTTTCCATACAATGAAAGACAGTGTTCCTAAAAAATAGTAAAGATATTTATGAGTTGAGATAAAATTTATTTCTTTAGACATTCTGTTGTAGTGATTTATAACAATGATTCTAATGTTTTTTCATTACTTATGAAATCAGCACAATAAGAATTTTCAAAAGTTAAAGTGTTTTTTACCTGTATACTTATGCACAATGTGCAAAAGATTTAGAGTAAGCAGGACGCTTCTCTGAAAGCCAGTAAAGTCACTGATGAAGAGGGATCGGTCCCCACTAAGAAGCACTCGTGTGGGCAGAACTTTCTGGAATTCATAAGTTCTAATCAAAGTTGTAGGAAAGAGGGGTGGGGCTAAATAATCCACAAGCAAAGCCCAATTTCTTCCAAAATCTGCTTCTTGTTTAGAATAATACCTTAACCTACAAGACAAGGGGTGGAGGGAAGTTCCCATTTATAATTAGTCAACTCAGAATTTTGCAAACTCAATTTCAAAACAGATATTTTGTTCAAAACTACATCCTACTACTTTTTAGAATATGGATTGTAGAAACTGGCTGTTGATTTTAGCTCTTAGATTTGAACATTTGAAAAGATTTCATTAGAATTTTAAGTCTGGAAATTACCATCCCAGAAAATGGCTTTAGTAGAATACTTTTCCCTTTTCATAAATCCTGCTCCATTTGCATACATGCTGAAATGTGACCAAGTCTCATTATTTTAAAACTAGAGGCCCGGTGCACAAAATTTGTGTGCAGGTACGGCCCCGAGGCCTGGCCTGCAATCAGGGCCATCTTCCCCAGGTGCCCACAGCCGGCCCTGCCCCCTGCTGCCACCCACCCCTGGTTCCCGTTCGCCATCGGGTGATCGATACCTGATGGCCAGGGGAAGGGACCGAGAGGGGGTCAGTGTGCCTCATAGTGACTGGTCCAGCGGTTATTCTGGTCATTCTGCTGTTAGGGTCAATTTGCATATTACTCTTTTATTATATAGGATGTAAAGAGATATTCAAAGAAGATTAGCAAAATTTCTGCTGAATTTTGATATTTTTAAAGGAACATGTGATTTCCATTTCAGGTAACCACTAAACAATAAATAGCTTACAGACTATTTTTCTTACTTCTTAGGTAGCTTGGTTGTTTTTTTTTCTGATAAGTCCCCCTTATCTGAAGTTTCACTATCCACAGTTTTCGTTACCTTTGGTTCAAAAATATTAAACAGAAAATCCAAGAAATAAACAATGGTTAAGTTTTAAACTGTGTGCTGTTCTGGGTAGCATGATGAAACCTCTCCATGTTCCACTCCATCATGGGAATGTGAGTCATTCTTTTGTGCAGCATGTCTAAGCTGTTTATCTCTGTACAGGTTAGTCACTTAACAGCCATCTGGGTTATGAGATTGACCGCTATAGTATCTCAGTGCTTGCATTCCTGGTATAAATCCCATGTGGTCATGGTTTATAATCCCTTTTTTTATGTGGCTGAATCCTGTTTGCCAGTATTGTGTTGAGGATTTCTGTGTATGGATCTTTGAATATCAGTTTGCAGGATACATAGTTTTATAAACAGAAGAGCTATAAGGGTGAAAGCATAGTCTTTGGAGTTAGACAACCCTTGACATAAATCTTCCTGACACTATCAATCTGTGTAAACTTCAGAAGAGTTACTATCTATAAAATTTATTGTTGTAAGAATTGACTGAGAGATGAGAAGAAAATCCATAGTTCAGATTCTGTCATGCAGCTATTAAAAAATATTCATGTAGGTATAGGTTGACACCTATGCAGACAGCCATGTAAAAAAGTTAGAAGTTCAGGATATAAAGTATGTTAGTAAATATGTTAGTAAAAAAATAATTAACTTTTGTACTTATGTGTCTACTAAGATCAACAAGAGGTGTTTTCCCCTGAGGCGGTGTGTGAAAAAAAGAGGCACATACACATTTAAACTTACTCATCAAACAATTCATATGGATATTATTTTGCCTCAGGTTATTTATAAATTTGATCTATTGAAAATTAATCAAATATTTCCAAATTAGTCACATTCAATAGTTTGGAATAAATGCAATGAGCATAAAAATAACAAAACAAATAAGCACATAATAGAAATTAAATCATAAACAAAATCTGCAGTATCCTTAAATTTTAACCACTTGAAGTAGTGTCACACTTTCAAGAATAAAAACAAGTTTTCTCATCTCTAGGAGAAGACAAAGTAACATGTTGTCATCAAAGCATTTTCAGACTTCCTCCATCCATCAACAAAAACTTGCCTCAGAGAAATGGTTTGGGAAGAGAGTTTGGCAAGTCTCCAATCAGTGCCATCTTTCGAAAGTCAGTCCTTTAGGAACTGGCCATTAGGAACTGGGGCCCATTGTATAAACAAGTTTCTAACGAAAATTGATAGCTATCTTACTTGAGTATTCTCATACTGGTAACTCAACTAACTTAAAATCCACGAATCCCTGAACTCTCCATCTCCTAATAACCCAATTCACTAATAACCCAAAACTAGACGAGAAAAGTGTTCTGCTCAGTGATACTGGGCCTGCCAGACGTAGTTCTCCTTTCCTATAAATGCAGTAAATTCAACTTTGTTGTTTAATTTCAGACATTGAGGGTTGCTCTCATCATCCTCTGAGAGTTGATAATAAAAATGCAATTTTCTAGAAGAATTTCATTTTGCATGTGATTGGGAATGTTTGCAAAAATATTGTTTTATAAACTATTTTCTCTAAACTATAATGACTTGATCTCAATTACAATCTTTAGGTTGCAACCCCCTCTCTACTTGCTTGACCAATAACCTCAAGTTTCATTGGCAGTCATAGAAATAGCCAAGCAGCCGAGTCACAACAAAAAAGATGTGATGATGGCTACAATTCCAATTTATTTCACAGAATGCCAAGAGGATGAAGTTTTCTGTGGACCAATTTGAAAATCATCTTTGAAGCAATACGAAGAGCAAACATATATAGAACAACATGACTCCTAAATCTGTTGTTTATATCTTAATTGAATATGTGATCAGTGGGGAAGATAAAATTAGGCGGTTAACAAGAAGGCCTCAAGCATGTGTGCCTGTGCTTATACGTGCTTTTTAAACCAGTCACTCATCCTTTCCTTCTTTCTACACCAGATCTCACTCTGGATGCCTGATACTACCCCAAATATAGTGTCATTCACTTCCAGACCAAGTCATGCTGCCTCATTCAACCTCATTTGCTATAAAATTGGGAGACTTTTAACGTCATTTTAGCTCTTCAGTATGATAACCAAGATGCCTCTTGGATAGCTCCTTCCAAATATGTGTTAACCAAGTTATTTTCTCTGATCAAAATGATGCAGAGATCATATAATTATTTGTCATTACACTCCCTGGTTTATAAACACCGGTTTGGGTAAAACAACCTTTTGTGTTTGTCTTCTTGGACTTCTGGCTTGATTTTGATTTATTGCTTTTTATTTTGTTATACTTTATAATGCAAATCTGCTTTTTCCCATATTTTTCCTTCCTACTCGTAAAACACTTTTTACTTTATCCAGTAAAACATTTTCTTGTCAGTTTTTTCTTTATCTGTAATACCGCGCCCCCCCCCCCCCATAGTTGACATATTGGTAAATAGGTTAATTGAAAAACACTTCAATGAAAAAGGTAATGTAAGATGAAAATATTGTTACCATGTAAAAACAAAATAACCTTAGATCCATTCTTACCTGTTGTGAAAATTTTTATGAGCAACCTCCAAGGATGAGACATGTGCAGCCCATAAGTACTTCAGCAGGTCATCAAAACTACTAGAATTGGACTTTAAATGCTGTCCAAGAAGAACAAGGTTATATTATTTAAGCAATGATAACTGTCTCTCTTCCTGAAAAATCAATTCTATTTACAAATATAATTTTCAACATCTAAATAAGGGGAGTTTTTTCCCCTAAAAGTTAAGATATGAAAGATTTAATGCTTAAAAGTCCCTAAAAGCTAAATATTACTTATATTAATTACTAGTGATGCTGAACTCATTTGAAAGCAATAAACCATGTGTTTTAGGATTTTATACTGTTCAGAACCAGAGCTTTAGTATTTTATTGTATTTTGTTTACTTGTTGTTCTCTGGCCATATAATGAACTTTCCACAAAGTCTTAAGAGTCAGAAATGGGCCCTGACCGGTTTGGCTCAGTTCATAGAGCGTCGGCCTGCTGACTGAAGGGTCCCAGGTTCGATTCCAGCCAAGGGCATGTACCTTGGTTGTGGGCACACCCAGTAGGGGGTGTGCAGGAAGCAGCTGATCGATGTTTCTCTCTCATCAGTGTTTCTAACTCTCTATCCCTCTCCCTTCCTCTCTGTAAAAAATCAATAAAAATATATTTTAAAAAAAGAGTCAGAAATGGGGCAAATGGGAGGAGTAAGAGTATTTTGTCTAATTATATGAAACTAGAGGTCCAGGGCACAAAAATCTGTGCACTTGGAGGGGGGGACCCTCAGCCCGGCCTGTGTCCTCTTGCAGTCTGGGACTCTTCTGGGGATGACCACCTGCTGGCTTAGGCCTGCTCCCCGGGGGATTTGGCCTAATATGGCAATCAGACATCCCTCTGGCAGCCTGGCCGCCCTCGGGGGATGTCCACTTGGCAGCGGGGAGCAGACCTAAGCTGCAGTCGGACATCCTTAGCACTGCTGAGGAGGCAGGAGAGGCTCCCACCACCACCGCTGTACTGGCAGCCATCAGCCTGGCTTTATTTACCTTCTATAATTGAAACTTCATTGCTGTCACTGGAGCTGAGAGCTGGGCTCCTGCTTACTCCAGCTCTGAGGCCACAGCCTGCTGAAAGGAGGTATCTGGGGTTTGTTTAGCTTCTATAATTGAAACTTTGTTGCTCTCGGAGCTTAGAGCCAGGCCTTGGCAGGCGGGGAACCTTGGCTTCCTCCATCACTGGAGCAAGCAAGCCTCCTGCTTGCTTCAGCTGCATGGCTGCCGGCCACCATCTTGGTTGGGTTAATTTGCATATTGTACTGATTAGCCAATGGGAGGGATAGCGAAGGTATGGTCAATTACCATGTTGTCTATTATTAGATAGGATATAAAAATCTGTAGAGGGAAACTTGTTTGGTTTTGGTCATTTACTCTTTCACCCATGGGACTTTACTTTAGATATCAATATTTGATACTGATTGTCAAATGATTGTTTCAGTCAAGTTATATCCTATATAATGAAAGCCTAATATGCAAATTGACCGAATGTCAGAACGACCAGTGGAACGACAGGTTATATGGTGCACACTAACCACTAGGGGGAATACATTCAATGCAGGAGCTGCCCCCAGCCTGCAGGCCCCAGGCCAGCCAAGGTAGGTGCCAGTGGAGTCCCCCTGATTGCCCTGCCAGTTGCCCCACATTGGGAGGCGACCTGCAGCGGCAGTGATGGGGGGTAGGGCTGGCAAGTGGGAGGTGCCAGGCTGGCCAAGGCAGGTGCCAGCAGGGCCTCTCCCCCTCCCCCGATTGCCCCACCAGTCACCCCACAGATTAGCTCTGATCACTGGCGAGGCCTAGGGAACATACCCATGCACAAATTTTGTGCACTGGGCCTCTAGTTTGTTTATAAAGAGAGTTGAAATAATCTGATCAAATTCACCATAACCTATATTATATATGTATTTCTATATAGGTTTTTGCATAGTTGGCCCTGAAATTATAATAAAAGAGAACACTTTATGCTCTATTAGATCATAATTCTCATGTGTTTGCATATAATTCATTTGGTGTGAGAAAAGTGGATAGGGCAGCCTCAATACTCAATGGGTAATGAGGGTGCTAATGTGATATGATGTTATTCAGTAATCAACTCATTAATATTTCTGTCATTATAATAAATATTTTAATATTAAGAACTTAATTCTTTAAGAACTTGTTCAATGCCTAAAAAACTCTACATTAAATATATTGTTCAAAAATTGTCTGATGACCCCCAAAAAGTATTAATTAAATTACTAAAAAACAAAAGAAAACAAAAGCCACACACAAAACCTGGTAAAATTCATTCCACTTTTTCATTGCTTCTGGAAAGGATGAATGACAGCTAGAAACATTAAAACAAAAACTTGTCCAATCCTTGTATGGTGGCAGCAATGTGACATTGTCTGATGGTATCTCCATTATGCCAGAATCAATTGCAGCAAGGAAGGGCATTGCAGAGAGATAAAAATTAAGGTCTGTGTAAACAAAAATTATGATTAATATTATTAGCATACAAAAGAGGTTGCTTTTGAAGTAAAGAAATCTATCATGAAGGTAAACCCACAGATTGGGAAACATGGTAAACCTTAAGCAGTAGTTCTGGGCACTTCAGAAACTATCAGAAATTTCCCTTATTCTCATATGCAACTTGAATGTGCTTCTCTTAAGGATCCTGCTCTCCTAAAGCAGAATGGATTTATGCTGTGGATTTATTACTTTAAAACATTAAAAGATAATAATGGCATTTAATGTGCCCTTACCAGGGCTGGGGATCAAGCCTGCAACCAAGGTACAGGTCCTTGATGGGGATCAAACCCAAGATGCTTCAGTCCACAGGCTAATGCTCTATCCACTGAGCCAAATCAGCTAGGGCTGAATTAATTTGTTTTGAAAAAGCAGTAATTCTGGTGTTTGTTTTTGTTCCTCTATTTGGGATTCAGGGTTAAATTGATTTTTTGTGGAAAGGTCATCAATTTGTGATTTGACTTTTACATTATACTCACCAGCCCACCAAATGTCTATAGAGATGCACAGATGATCCCCAGACTTATGGCCACAGTCTGTTCTTTGGGTGGGGTCAGCTAATCTGCCTGGAAAAGAGGGAAGCCAGATTCGGGTTTACTGGACCATTTTGAAACTGTAGATTAAAAAAAATAAGAAACAAACAAACAAACATGCTTGCCTCTGGTCATTACATATTCTGAGGAATTTTTTTTCTTATCTTCCCATGGCAAGAATACATCATTCTCAGTAGCCTTTACCAAAAAGTGTTTTTTGGTTTTTTTTTGTCATTCACATTTTTTTCAAGAATAAAATTAACTCTATTTTTGTTATTATTCAAACTCAAATTTCTACTATCAACTTACTCCATTTTCCAATTATATTATTTCTGTAGCAAAAGTTAGGTATTTCCTGTAATCCCAGCATTTCCTTCTCTCTATCCTGTGGTTCCACTGATCGTTCTGCTGTTCAGTCAATTTGCATATTAGACTTTTATTATATAGGATGTAACTTGACTGAAACAATCATTTGACAATCAGAATCGAATCATGATATCTAAAGTAAAGTCCCATGGGTGAAAGAGTAAATGACCAAAACCAAACAAGTTTCCCTCTACAGATCTTTATATCCTATCTAATAATAGACAAACATGGTTATTGACCGTGACTTCGCTACACCTCCCATTGGCTAATCAGCTTGATATGGAAATTAACCCAACCAAAATGGCAGCCTGCAGCCACACAGCTGAAGCGAGTAGGAGGCTTGCTTGCTCCAGTGATGGAGGAAGCCAAGGTTCCCCGCCTGCCGTGGCCCGGCTCTGAGCTCTGAGAGCAACAAAGTTTCAATTATAAAAGTTAATTGGAGGAGGAAGTCATATGATTTTATTTTATTAAATCTTTATTGTTCAGATTATTATAATTATTCCTCGTTTTTTCCCCCATAGCTCCCCTCCACCCAGTTCCCTCCCCCCCCTCTGCCCTTACCCC